AATGAAACAACAATGTACGATACTTTATCATTAAAATAAAAAGAAACAGACATGCTAATAATCCAACATATATAACTATCTAATAAAACAACAACAACAACAAATAATCTATCAATATTTATTGATTCATTAATTATTAATCAATGTATTATTATAAAACAACATGACGTATACTTTACCATGAACAAACTAGTCGGGTGTCGAGAAAGTTTCATCAACGAGACGACAGAGTTTGACGTACGAACTCCCTGGAAAAATCATGGAACCTGAAAAAGAAAATAAAAATAAAACAGAGAACGAGAGAGAGAGAGAGAGAAAAAAACAGGAAAATTTTGTCAGAATAGAAACAAGGTTTCAAATTGTCGAACCTTTTCGTATTGGCGCGCACGCGCCTATGTACACATAGTGTCTCTCTCTGTATGTGTGTGTGTATTTTTGTTATCAACGAAAGATGCAAAACAATGGAATAAATTTTCTCGTAGATAGAGAAAGAAAGAGATAGTATCGATGTTTTTCCTGCTTTCCAGGTAGGATACGACGAATCTCTCGAAGGATCGTTGAGAACCATCAGGAAATTATTTTCAACGCGCATGTCAGCTATTCTAGGAGGGTTGGAATATCAACGAAACCGAGGGCGGGGCTGGAAAATACTCGCATGGCTTCCTCCCCTCCTCCTCCTCCTCCTCCTTCTTTTCCTCCTGCTCTTCCACCCCCATATCTCCAACCCCCTAGTCGTCGTCGTCGTTGTCGTACGAGTTCTCTTTTGACGTTCTTCGAAAGAGAACAATAACCTTTAACCCTTATCTTACTTAGGCGTTAACTTCTACGATATTTCTGAATGCAGGTAAAGTTCATTCTAAATTCTCACTAAATTTTTCACTTCCTCACGCCATCCCCTATGGCCCATATTTGTGTAAATTAAGTTCGTACAAAGTAGTTATTTGTTTTCACTTCAATATGACATAGATTTGATATGTTAATATTATTCTGTCGCCATTTCGTAACATTTTGTTTCATCATTCCTTTACTTCTTCGTATTCATAATTTATGATGTTTTTATTTTGTATTATATTTATTTTGTCGAGATTCGTTCGTGTAACTTTTTTTGAAACGAGTACACACTATGATTATTTCTTTTTTTTTTTTTCTATATGATAATTTGGAAAAAAAAAAACAATTGTAAATTAATATCGTAGATTGTTTTGATATAGTAATAATGATTGACTTTTTCTTATTGACAATAGTTTAGATTTTGTTAGATAAGATATAAAAGCTCGTAACTAAATATTTTATACAATAAGACCTTGTTGCACTTTGAACTAGGGTGAAAAATGGTAGGAGTGGATTTGGCGAAGGTAATGCGATTACGCGCGGAACATAAGGGTGGGTTAAATGTGACTTAAAACTGAATTAAGTAATTTACACGTTGCCACGATTATTTGCAAACGTTATAATATATTATAACCTTTTCTTCAATATCAATATGAAAAAAACAAACAAACAAATCTAAATAATATTAAACATTATTTAATCTTTTCAAAACGATATAAAAAAAAAATCATAATTAACAATTAATAATTATAACAAATATTTCTCTAACTTAAATTCTAAAAATAAAATCAAAAATCTGTGTCAATGAACAAAAAAATACACTTAGCAATTATACCAAATAAATACGAGTCAAATAAAATGAACGCTTTGTATCAACGAACAAACACACACTACAATTATTTTTCTTATTATTATCCTATTAAAAAAAAAAAAAAACGAACAAACAAGAGCATATCATTTATTTCAAAATAATAATAATAATAATCCAAATAAATTAACCAAACCAAAACCAAAAGGGGGTGGTGGGTGGTCTCAACGATTAACTTTAAACTTTCCCAAAAAAAAACAAAAACACCGTTTAACAGATCCAAAAGTCTTGTAATTAAAACAAACCTATGATGTAACAAAAAAATATATTTCTCATATAATTGATCGATGGATCACCAAGGATACTTTTAATACGATTTAAACGTCACCCTAACGGGATAAGAGAATACTCGGTTTCTCCAAGGAGGGTTATGATCATACAAACGGTACGTGATGTGCATATACATATACACAAACACACACACAAATACACACATATATATATAACAAGGGGTGCAACAATTAATCTAGAGCTCTGACTTTTGGACTTTTTCTCTTTCTATTTCTCTTTTCCAGTGTAACACGTGGGATCGGATCTAGAAGGGAGTTGATCTTTCCAAAAGGGAGGGTGAAATCGTGGTAGTAGTTTGAACGGGGGGGGTCCAGCTGCCATCGTTGTGGCACCGGCTGCGCTTATAATATCGGGCTCGTGGCTTTTGGGGAGATTCAAGATGACGACGAAGACGACGAGGATGAGGACGAGGACGAGGACAAGGACGAAAGGTACGATCTCGACGAGAAAGATGGTGACGACGACTGCTTTTCGTTCGTAACATTTACTATAGTATTTTTTATACTATACCCTCTAGGGTTGACCCTAAAAGCGTCAGCTTGCACACAGTCTGAAGAAAAAGCTGATGCTGATCTTGCTATTTCTTTCTTTCTTTCTCTTTCTCTTCCTCATTGGTTTTTATATTTCTTTTTGTTTCATTCTTTTTTCCATCTTTTTTGGCTTTAACGTTGATTCACTATGTTTCATAATATAAACAAAAAAAAACATAGTCTTCCCGTGAAACAAATTTTTTTCGCGAAAGATCGATCAAATAATATTCTTCATCATTAGGGATGTTAAATTATTATGAAGAATTTTTTTTTGTCATTATTTCGATTCTTTTTCGGGAAAGGGTGGAAGAGAGAAGGGTTTTTTTTATATATATATAGAAAAATGATATTTGATAATATCCAATGTGTTAATCAATATAATAATAATAATAATAATAATAGTGGAGAATGTATATCGGTAATAAACGATTACGTAAAGAAGACAATGATCACATCGTTTGTTTATTTTTAAATTTACGATTTTCAGCCTAAATTTACATAAAATATAGTTAATTGATATAACGTTTGCGTATAATATATTTATGTATATATATATATATATAGATATATATATATATATATTTTGTATCATGCCAAAACGAGTATCGGGATGAGTCAAGTGTTTTTCAACGGTTACAAGTCTATTATATATATCAAATTTTCTTTGATATTCTCGATTTATTAATATTTATCATTATATATTATTTATATATATATATTTAGATTGTTATTAAAAATATTTAACGTATAGACTTGTAACGTTTGTGTCGATGATTCACCCTGTATATTGCACGAATTATTACAATTCTTAAGCATATTTCTCTCTCTCTCTCTCTCTCTCTCTCTCTCTTTCTTTCTTTCTTTCTTTCTTTTTTACATATAAATTTAATACGTTCAAATATTACATGAATTCATCCATGAATCTCGTTCACCTTGTGGTTGAAAAAACATTGGAAAAATATCTCTTTTATAAAGATTTTCCTTTTGAAATTCCTAGGACAAGTCGTGGTTCATTAAAGTTCGTTCGATTATTAGTGATCAACTATAAATATAGGCCACTTTGTCATTAAATCGTAAATCCAGATAAATGAAACTTGAAAGGCCATAGACAATTTGTACTTTTCAAACGACAATATAATATATTATATAATATATATTTATATTTATATTTGTATTTTAAGATATCTAATTCGTGATATCAATTCGTTATTTTAACGATCAACTTTAATGAATCTCAACCTGTATGGAAACACATTTATTTAAATGCATTTTTCAATAATAATTATAATAATTATAATAATAATAATATATATTAATGACACACACATACACACACACACACAATACGCGTCGTCCGGTTTGCAATGTTGGATAAATAATAATAATAAATTAAGGATGCTAATACAAGGTAATATTGATAAAATAATATATATAATGTTTATATATTATATTAATAATATAATTAATATTATAATATATGTGTGAAGCAATATCATTGAGATATTTAGAATAATAAATCGAATAAAAAACTAATAACACGTTGTCGAGAAATACTCTTTGTATAACACAAGATAATATTATTTGTTGAAATAATTTTTTATAAATTGGAAATTTATTTTTCATGTTAAAAAAATGTCTTACTTTCTTACGATTTTCAACGAATTCATTTTTAAAAGAATAAAAACAATAACAATAACAACAACAATCACGTATATCGAACATTTTTCTTTTTTCACGCAGGTATCTAATGGTTCCTTGAAACATGACAAACTTTGTATTTTGTTATTTAAAAATTTAAAAGTTACTATTTTATCCAGGCAGAAGACGCGTTACCCCCAAATGCATTAAAAATTTTGAAATTCACTTTTTCTAGTTCAAATCTATAAAATTTTATAAAATAAATAAAATGTCGATATGATACATTAACAAAATCATAAATAGATATATATATATATATATATATATCATATATTACACCACACTGTTTGAGAAATGTTTGCACGCAGAAAATCAATAAAACACTAAGAGTATTCTGCTATAATATTACACCGTCGAGTCGTGACAAAAAACGTAAGTACTACCTCCGTCTATGTGTGTATATATATATATATATGTATGTGTACGCGTGTAGATTCTGTAACATCCAAGTAAACGACAAAGAAAAAAAATGAAAAGTAAAATTAAAAACAAAAAAAACAAATTGGGTTAACCACGTTTATGCGATTGTTAGAAAAATGTTACGTGCGAGTTTTTAAGAAACGGAGGTCGTCCTACTTTGTGTGTATATATGTGTGTATAAATTCATTTTTATATACGTAAATCTTTTCATTTAATCCGTATCTCTTCTGGAACACCCGGTATATATTTATACTACAATAATATTTTATATTACACAAAACAAACGATAAATTAAATTAAATTTTAATAATTAATTAATAATTAACCGCGCGGCACACATTTTTTTTCTTCTTCTTTTTCTATTTTTTTTTTTGTTTCTTGTACAGAAACGATGTAACAACAATAATGTGAAAATTTCATTATATTATATTATATGTAATACTATATCGTGTAATACAACAAATGACTTGTACTATTTGGAGAACGACGAAAAATGTCACGTATACGTAATAGTAGTTGTAGTAGTAATAATAGTTGTAATCACGATTGTAATCGTTATTTTACGCATGAATAATTTCAAATTTTTCTCTACGTTTTTTTACTACTTAAAATGGTTATAATACGTAGGAACATTATTTAAATAACAATTTTGCTTGGCATGAATGTATTTTCTTAATCATAAATTATTCAATGATGAGAATATATGTATACCTAACTGGGATTATGTGTGTGTGTAATTTTCGAAACATATATCAAAGTTAACATGTCGTTCGCCAAAAAGAAAAAATTAAAAAGAAAAATAAAATATTATAAAGGGGAGAGAAAAACATTTTTACGTTGATTTAAAAAATATGTAAAAAAAAAAAAAAAAACACAAAAAAAAATATGCACACGACAATTTAATATGAACGTGATCGATGTTCGAAACTTGTTTTAGAAGAAAAAAATGACTAGTTTCTCGTTCAACGAAAACATATCATTATTATCATTTCTTGTTTTTGATTTCAATTAAACGTTGATTCCGAATAATAATAATAATTATTACTATTATTATTTCACATCGTAGAAAGAAAAAAAAAAAAATGAAAATGCTTCTTATCAATTATGAAAATGAAATTTTTTCTACAAACTTTTTATCTCGATTCGACGCGATATTTCATTATACATTTAAAGCGTACGCTTACACATACATACATACATACATACATACATACATACATACATACATACATACATACATATAATATACGTGTGGTAATAAATCAGCCGAGTTTATCTCTCCTACGACAATAAAATAAATAAAAGAAAAAAATAAGAGGGGCGGAGGGGTTGGGGCAGGGGCAGGGGGAGGGGTGGGAAAAGAAAGAATAATAATTAGTAAGATGTTAATTAAACGGAACTAGTTTTTGGTAAGGGTTTCAATTTCGATATTAATTCGCGACGTTGCTCGTGATATTCCTGGAAACAAGGTACGATACATAAATTAATTTGACATTCTGGACAATGGTACTTGGTTTTTCTTCGTAAGATTCTTCTATGAGCATCCATGGTGTTCCAACAATGATTACAACCTAAAGCTGGACCAGGACGTAATACTGGACAATGAGCTAATCGTTGATCACCTGTACCTTCTCTGGATTCTCTGCTAGTTGTCTAAAAATAATAATTATTATATCTTGGACAATTATATTCATTTAAATATGTACAAGTACGTGATACATTTCAATTGGGGAAAAGCTAATTAGTTTGTTCAATTAAAAGTGAGTGTATATGTTTTAAAACAATTCACGATTTAAGTGAAAACTTCTTATAGCAATTGTGTAATCGATTTTAAGTAACAAATCACATAAATTCATATTTGTGGATGTTCATATTTATTAGGATCTGTGAATCATTAATCGCATGTTCAAAAGTTTTCCTAATACAAAATCATTTTAACGTTTAAATTTTTTTTCTTTCTAATTATATCTTTTTGTATTGAAAATTTGTTCATTATATTGTTTATTATAATAATTCTTTGAGATTAATTTTTCTCACGGAGAGCCATTTATTTTCTTGCATTATAATAATTGACTATTTTCATTCATATTCGATTTGACAATCTATAAAAAACAATAAATCAATATTATATATATATGTGCAAATTATCGTAATTAATATTAAATAAAAATATTCGTAATAAGTAACAAAACTAAACTATGCGTTCGATTAAACTCGGGGAGGGGGAGGGAACCGAATTTATCCGAATGGAACGTTTTACTTCGGAACATGACGAATCAGATTCATTTTCATTGCATAATCAACAAAATGTCTACGTTATGAGATACCTAAAGAAGTTTTCACTTCGATAAAAATATCTATTTATTCGTGATTTTATTACAAAAACCTTATGTAAGATTCCATAGATCAGTATAATGCGGCCAAATACTATAATGAGTACAGGCCAACACAAGGACAAGAAAGATGAATGCGTTTGTTCCACCTACCCCCACTTTTGACACTCTCAAAGTCCAACAAACAATAGAAATCTTTGAAACATAGTCGTATGAGATTCGAAATTAATAATTTTATGATCAAACGTAAATTAAAAAAAAAAAAGAAAAAGCACTTGAATGTCTAAGCCAATGTTATATCCTAATTAGTTTTAACGTTTCAATTATCTTCCTTTTTATTACGTATAGGATTAATAGAAAATATGTGATTCTTTTTATCAATAAATAAAATATATTGTATATGAGATTAAAAGGTTTGCATCAGGCAACGTTTCCCAATCAATCAGACCCACATTTCTAGACTAATCATTCTTCGTTTAACCGTATTATATAATAATATATATCTTCGATTTAAATAAATTTATACCTCATATACGTATTTTCTTGTAATAATATGAAATTTCATTAGGATTATAAAAAAAAAAGAAAAGTAACATACCTGAGGCGAAGAAGAACTTCGCCTAAGTTCAGTCGTTTTGACTTTTAATCCACCTGCTGATTGAGTATTATTACCACTGGCAATATTACTACTACTACTACTGCTGCTACTTCCAGCATTAGTTATAGCCAAAATAGGTTCCTCGTAAATATTTACATCAGTAATATCCTCTTCGGTTTTAATGACCGGTGCTGGTTCAACTACTATCGAAGGACTCGTAGTCCTACCAGGAAATTCAGGATTTGAATATTGCCTTTGTATCAAGTAATTGCTACTGGTACTTGACTGTTGACTGGACAAAAGTGGATGAGAATGTTGTTTCGTCAAATAGGACGGCTGAGGTACGCTCAACAAATTAGTTGGCGTTGTTACTGTTAAAAGATTTGATTGTGTGACCAATATAGAAGGTGGCGATGAACTCCTAGTTTCTTCCCAGGTACGAGGCGACGTCTGAGGTGGTACGTTCAATGTTTGTGCCGTCAAATGAATGGACGAGGAAACGATGTGGGGTGAATTTGGGTCGTTGTCCGGAGACAAATGGGATGGTTCCTTCTTCACTCTTGGCTGACGCATCAATAGACGACCTCTCTTCGAACCACCCATTTTGTATTGAAGAACTGAAATAACATTTGTTTATCTTTAACACGTGAGACATGTAAACATTTGTACCGTCATATAACGATATATATATAGGTGTATATATATGTATTGCAAATTGCAATGGTTTATGATGATTTTTATGATGTTTCCTTTTTTTTTTCTTTATTAATTATTCCCCTAGATATATATATATTACAAAAAAAAAAAGAAAAGGTATTTTTATTTGAGCAATTTTCTATTCGTTTAAGATATTTATATACATACTATAAATCATGCTTATATAAATATGCGTGAACTATGATAAAGATTATTGAAATTTTTACATAACATTTTGTAATGTTTTAATGAGATAATCGTGCAACAACAAAAAATATTATTCGACGAATTTAATTGTGAATCAATATCGCAAAGGTAAACATTGTTAACTGCAACAATAATATTATTACGAATGATGATTATGTGATACGTGAAATTAATTCGATTAATCGATTTATAAACTTTATCATATATTGAATTTCCGATAATTATATATATATATAAGTATATATATATATATGTATATATATATATAATTATTATACAAACAAGATCAATGTTTGTCTCTCTTACATACTTATCGTTATGTACTAAAACTTGAGAATGTAAATATAGTTTTTTTTTGTTCTTTTCTTACTTAATGTAGTTTATTAAATGTGTTATACATAACATTGACACATTAAACTCGATTTTGTCAATTTTTGTTTAAGCCTTATAACGTTCATTCGAGAACTAGATTTTTTCGTAATTACGTCGTACGTTCGCCGCTACGTTAATGAGAAATACGCGCGATATATATAACAGATTTTTATTTTACTTTACTTTATTTTATTTTACTTTAATTTACTTTACTTTATTTTATTTTATTTTATTTTAATTTATTTTATTTTATT